CTTCTCGAATCGCTTGAGACATCCTCACAGAATTACTGGTTTCGCTTGAGACATCCTTGAAACATTGCTCGTTTCGTTTGAGCCTGCCTCCCAAAATTCTTGGTTTCGCTTGAGACATCCTGAAAAAAGTGTGATCGCTTCGCTTGATGTTGCTATTTCAACATAACTTGATCTTGCTATCTCAACATAACGTTCCGAGGTGATAATGAAGTTTGGCCTCCGCGCCCCGCGCCCCCGACCAAACTCTTATTGGTCGACGATAAAAAACTCTAACGACTTAAGGGGGGGGGGTACATTATTATCGTGGGCATGGGGTTAGTAGGTTAACCCCCCGGCCCCCCTGCGACTTGGGCCGGCGAAATTATTTTTGAGGATGTCTCGAGCGAAACGCTTGATTTCCAGAATTTGTTGAGGATGTCTCGAGCGAAACGCTGGTTTTGCGGAGTTGGGGATGTCTCGAGCGAAACGCTTGGTTTCAGAATTTGTTGAGGATGTCTCAAGCGAAACGCTGGTTTTGCAGAGCCGACCGCGACACGGAAAAGCGCCCCTCGCGCAGGAATTCCGAGGATGTCTCGCGCGTGCCGCGTCCCGCGCGCAGGAATTTCGAGGATGTCTCGACTAATTCGCTTGTCGTTCTACGATGTCTTTGAAGTTTGGCAGGATGTCTCAAGCGAAATGCTTGTTTTTCATAATCCACAACGCTACATAGAGCACAATCGCGGCATGGCACATCGCAGTTCAGCACGGCCCAGCACAGCACAGCCGTCGGCACGGTACATCAAGATCGATACACTCAATTATGCACCTGGGCACGTTCCTTGGCGCGTTCCGTGGCGAGTCCACCTGGCACGTCGCGCGGCGCGTCCCCTGTCACGTCCCTCGGCACGTCCATTGGCACGTTCCGTAGCGCGTCCCCTTGGCACGTCCCGCGGTGCGTGCTCATGGCACGTCCCCTGGCACGTCGCCTGGCGCGTCCTTTAGGACGTTCCGCGGCGCGTCCTCCTGGCATGTTCCCTCTGTCGATTAGTTCTGGGGCAGCTACCATCTGCTCAGGCAGCTCGAGCTTACGCTCCAGATCAGTTCGGTGAGGACTCGGATGCCAGGGAGGACTCGATCCACAACGCTATATAGAGCACAATCGCGGCATGGCACATCGCAGTTCAGCACGGCGTAGCACAGCACAGCCCTCGGCACAGTACATCATCATCGATACATTCAGCATTGCATGTGCCCGTCGCCCAATCAGGTGTCTTTGAAATGTTGCAATGCCTTACATTTCTATATTCCTTTCCGGGTTCGTGGGTCGATCATGTTTTTCATAATTCGTTGAGGATGTCTCGAGCGAAACGCTGGCTTTGCAAAATTTGGGGATGTCTCGAGCGGGGGCCTCGGTGGTGGCCAGAATTCAGAGGATGTCTCAAGCGAAATGCTTGTTTTCACGTCCCGCTCGCAGGAATTCTGAGGATGTCTCGCGCGTGCCGCGTCTCGCGCGTAAGAATTTTGAAGATGTCTCGACTAAATCTGTTGTTTTGCTTGGATTCCTTTGGATTTTGAGAGGATGTCTCGAGCGAAACGCTTGTTTTTCATAATTTGTTGAGGATGTCTCGAGCGAAACGCTGGCTTTGCAAAATTTGGGGATGTCTCGAGCGGGGGCCTCGTGGGTGGCCAGAATTCAGAAGATGTCTCAGGCGAAATGCTTGTTGTCACGCCCCGCTCGCAGGAATTCGGAGGATGTCTCGCGCGTGCCGCGTCCCGCGCGTAGGACTTCGGATGATTTTGACAGTATGTCTCGAGCGAAACGCTTGTCCCCAGCACGTTCCGTAGCGCGTCCCCTTGGCACGTCCCGCGGTGCGTCCCCATGGCACGTCCCTTGGCACGTCGTTTGGCGCTTCCCTTGAGACGTTCCGCGTCGTGTTCTCCTGGCATGTTCCCCTGTCCATTAGCTCTGGGGCAGCTACTATGTGTTTAGGCAGCTCGAGCTTAAGATCCAGATCAGTTCGGTCAGGAATCGGATGCAAAGGAGGACTCGATCCACGAGGCTATGGAGCACTCTCGCGCCATGGCACATCGCAATTCAGCACGGCGCAGCACAGCACATATTTCGGCACGGTACATCAAGATCGATATACTCAGCATTGCAACTTGGCACGTTCCTTGGCACGTTCCGTGGGGCGTCCTTTGGCGAGTCCCCCTGGCACGCCGCGTGGCGCGTCCCCTGGCACATCCCGTGGCACATCCATTGGCGCGTTCCGTAGCGCGTCCCCTTGGCACGTCCCGCGGTGCGACCCCATGGCACGTCCCCTGGCACGTCGCCTAGCGCATCCCTTGGGATGTTTCGCGGCGCGTCCTCCTGGCATGTTCCCCTGTCCATTAGCTCTGGGGCAGCTACTATGTGTTCAGGCAGCTCGAGCTTAAGATCCAGATCAGTTCGGTCAGGACTCGGATGCAAAGGAGGACTCGATCCACGAGGCTATAGAGCACACTCGCGCCATGGCACATCGCAATTCAGCACGGCGCAGCACAGCACAGCCCTCGGCAGGGTACATCAAGATCGATACCTTCAGCATTGCATTTGCCCGTCACCCAATCAGGTGTCTTTGAAAACGCTGCCATGTTTTACAGTTCTATATTCCTTTCCGGGTTCGTGGGTCGATCATGTTTTTTTCCCGGAAAGGGCTCGGACTCAGGGTTCTCTTTTAGTGTGTTTACCCTCAGTTCTGACGGCTGTAGGGCCGGCGAAATTATTTTGCGATAAATGACGAGGTCGCTTAGGGCCGGCGAATTTTTTGTTGAGGATGTCTCGAGCGGAACGCTTGTTTTTTCAGAATTTGTTGAGGATGTCTAGAGCGAAACGCTTGTTTTGTGTTATAGATTGTCTTCTCTCGAGGACCAGAATTCAGAGGATCTCTCAAGTGAAATACTTGTTTTCACGTGCCCAGGTCTTGAGGATGTCTCGAGCGAGACGCTTGGTTTCACTCCTCCATGTTGCCCAGACAGATGTCTAGCATGAGGATTTGTTGAGGATGTCTCGAACGAGAGGCTTGTTTTCACGTGTCCAAGTCGCCCAGGCGGATATCTAGCATGAGGATGTGTCGGGGAAGTCTCGATCGAGACGCTTGTTTTCACGTGTACAGGTCGCCCAGGCGGATGTCTAGCATGAGGATGTGCTGAGAACGTCTTGAGGGAAACGCGTGTTTTCACGTGTCCAGGTCGCCCAGGCACAGCATTGCCCTCGGCACAGTACATCAATATCGATACCCTTAACATTGCAGCCTGGCATGTTGCCTTGCACGTTCCGCGAAGCGTCCCGTGGCGAGTCCACCTGGCACGTCGCGCGGTGCGCGTCCATTGGCACGTTCCGTAGCGCGTCCCCTTGGCAAGTCCCGCGGTGCGTGCCCATGGCACGTCCCCTGGCACGTCGCCTGGCGCGGCCCTTGGGACGTTCCGCGGCGCGTCCTTCTGGCACGTCCCCTCTGTCGATTAGTTCTGGGGCAGCTACCATCTGCTCAGGCAGCTCGAGCTTAAGATCCAGATCAGTTCGGTCAGGACTCGGATGCCAGGGAGGACTCGATTCACAACGCTCCATACAGCACAATCGCGGCATGGCACATCGCAATTCGGCACGGCGCAGCACAGCACAGCCTTCGGCACAGTACATCAAGATCGATACACTCAGCCTTGCAACCTGGCACGTTCCCTGGCACGTTCTGTGGCGCGTCCCGTGGCGAGTCCCCCTGGCACGTCGCGCGGCGCGTCCCTTAGCGCGTCCCGTGGCACGTCCATTGGAACACTCTGTAGCGCGTCCCTTTGGCACGTCCCGCGGTGCGACCCCATGGCACGTCCCCTGGCAGGACCCCTTGCGCGTCCCTTGGGATGTTCCGCGGCGCATCCCTCTGGTGTGTCCCCCTGTCAGTTAGTTCTGGGGCAGCTACTACGCAACTCGAGCTTAGGATCCAGATCAGTTCGGTCAGGACTGTAAAGGAGGACTCGATCCACAACGCTACCGAGCACCATCGCGTCACGGCACATCGCAGTTCAGCGCGGCGCGGCACAGCACAGCACAGCCCTTGGCACGGTACGTCAAGGTTGATACATTCAGCCTTGCAATTTGCCCGTCGCCCAATCATAGGGGAACAAACAACGACATCAACATAACAACTCGGAGGTCCGTGCGGACTTTTCAGATCGGCGGCGGAGACTCCATAGCGGCGCCTCTGGCGCCGCCCTTGGCGCGCTCCGCGCGCCAGGCAGGGGGGTCCAGCGCGGATCCGAGAAATCCGCGCGGACTTCCGAGGTTTTATGTTTATGCCATTTTTTGTTCCTCTAAATCAGGTGTCTTGAAAACGTTGCCATGCCTCGCGTTTCTGTATTCCTTTCCGGGCTCGTGGATTTATTCTATCGTGGCGAGAGGAGGTGCACCATATATCGGGATCGTCCCCGTCCCCTTCGCTCGCCCTTGTCGCCCCTGTCGTCCTTGTCGTCACTGTCGTCCTTGTCGTCCTTGCCGTCGTCCTCGTCGTTCGTGTTCTCCTCCTCGATCTCGTCCTCCTCGTCTTTCTTCTCCGCATCCTCAGCTGAAGAGGAGCTCCTCGGCGGCGAAACCCGAACCCTGCCCCCGCCTCCCATCGATGCAGATGCAGGATCATCGATGGTTCATGTGGGTAGGGGTCAGATGTCGCCACTTGGCCCAGCGCGACCCCGATCGGGGGAGCGCTTCCTGTTGCACGGGCGCAGCGCGTGGCATCGCCTGGCAGCATCGCTTAGCAGCACTGCCTGGCAGCATGGCTTAGCAGCACTGCCTGGCAGCATCGCTCGGCGCTGCGCGGCGAGGCAGCAAGGAGCCCAGGAGCCCAGGAGCCCCGGAGCCCATGAACCGAGGAACCGAGGGACCGGGAATTGCGGGTGATGGGCCTGTTTTCCACCACCACCACCACCACCATAAGTTGGAGGGGGGAAGAGGTGGAGGATGAGGAGGAGGAAGAAGAGGAGGAGGAGGACCCCTCCCCCTCCTACTTCTGGTGGTGGTGGTGGGAAATAAGCCCACCAGCGGGGGGTTGGCTGCCCTTCACCCCCCTCGCCTGCCCCGCTCGGCGCTGCAGCCGGCCGGCCGCGCGGCGCAGCCGACGCCGGGGCGGCAGGCCGCCTTCCGCTTCGCAGAGCTCTTCGCCGGCATCGGCGGCTTCCGCCTCGGGCTGGAGGCCTGCGGGGGCGAGTGCGTCCTCGCCGCCGAGGTTCGGGATCGTTTGACCAATCCCCATCCCCATCCCCATGCCCTTCGGGACCTCCGCAAAATTACCACCCCAGTTGGGGGTACACCCCTCGAAACCCGAAGGGAACGGCCTATATCCCCATCTAGGGGGGTAAATCGGCCAGTGGGGCCCAGGCCACGCCGCTGGGGATGGGGATCGGTTAAACGATACTCCGAGGTCGGCACGTGGGCCAGGGAGATCTACGCACTCAACTTCGGCGGGCCCGAGGCGCGCGAGCTGGCCGGCGACGTGCGGAGGCTGGAGCCCGCCGACCTGGAGCCCTGCGACCTCCTCACGGCGGGCTTCCCGTGCCAGCCGTTCACGGAGCAGGGCGGCTCTTCTTCTCGGTGGTCCTCAGGGCGAGTGCTGCCGCTTCGTCTGCATTAGACATAGCCTTTTAGAGGTCCGCGCGGATTTCTTGGATCGGCGCTGGGACCCCCTCCCTGGCGCGTGAAGCGCACCAGGGGCGGCGCTGGAGGCGCCGCTATGGGGGCCCAGTGCCGATCCAAGAAATCCGCGCGGACCTCCGAAATGCTATGTTTATGCAGTCTTTGGTTCTGTTAGCGTTTCTCGAGCAGACAATGAACCCAGCGGCGGCGAAATCCGAATTCTACCCTCGCCTGTCAACGGCTCAGGCAATTCGGTGGGCCGCGGGGGTGGGGTTCGGAGTCCGTCGAGCACGTGGCGAAATCCGAACCTGGTAGGGTTCGGATGTCGCCACCTGACCCGGCGCGACCCCGATCAGGGGAAAGCTTCCTGTTCCATTGGCGCAGTGCGTGGTATCGCCTGGCAGCATTGCTTGGCAGCACTGCTCGGAGTAATGCTTTGCATTGCTCGGCGTTGCGCGGCGAGGCAGCAAGGGCAGCAAGGAATCAAAGAAACAAGGAACCATGGAAACGAGGAGCCACGACAAAGGATCCAAGGAAGCAAGACCAGGGAACCGAGGAAGCAAGACCAGGGAACCGAGGAACCGAGACCAAGGAGCCGAGGAGCCAAGGCCAGGGAACCGAGGCACCCAGGAGCCAAGAGCAAGGAACCCGCGGAAGGCGGCGAGGAGCTGCGACCAAGGAGCCGAGGGGCCGAGACCCAGGACCCCTGGGCCACGCTGGCCGGCGCAGGCCCAGCACCCGCCGGCTCTTCAGAAACAAGCAGGAGCCGCTCAGGTGATCGTTTTCTTATTCATTGTCTTGCCGATCGGCGCGTGCCCTCGCACCTTCCCCCCCCTCCACGGAGTAGATCTCGGCTGTTTTTGGTGCCTGTTTCGAGCAGATGGAGCCTCCCCTATAGGACGCACCGCTGCAAGCAGTCGAATTAAGCAGAGGTCCAGAGCCAGGCCCCTGCAGGTAATGGCGATTTCGCTAGGGGCATCCTCAAACAAAAGACAAACACGATAACATATGTTTGAAACACGTTGGTCTAACATCGTCTTGGAATCGCTATCGCAAAAGCGTCAAGACGGCCCAAACCAGCCTTCTAACCATTGCGATTTCGCTAGGGACATCCTCAAAAACGTGTGTGCCCAATATCGCATCGAATTGATTTTTGAGGGCGTCAAGGCGGCCCCGAAGAGCCCAAAACGAGCCCAACTATGACCCAAAAAGCGCCCTCAAGACGACCGAGACGATTTCGCTAGTGACATCCTCACCAAACTGAGAGTTTACCAGCATCGGCGTTTGCAACAACAAGCGTTTCGCCTGCGACATCCTCCCGGTCTGGGAAAGTGCTGATTTTCAATATTTTCGAACAAGAGCGTTTCGCTTGAGACATCCTCGCCGACAAAAACATGTCGGCAGGGGTGGTTTATTACTTCTTATGTTGAAAACGACGCTCTTGCTCGAGACATCATCGGAAAGTGGGGAGGAGCACGGCATACCAACTTAGCTGCATGTTCGGCGCCATTTCTAAAAGTTGCCATTTCGTTAGGGACATCCTCACAACATTGGTATGTTCCCATCATCGCTTTGATATCGCTACCGACGTAGTTCAAAACGAAACGATAATAATCCAAACAGGACCTTAAGATGGCTCCAAGAGCTCTTTTAAGATGACCGAACATGACGATTTCGCTGGGGACATCCTGAAACACGTAGGAACTCGGCAAGCCAAGCGAACACAGCAGAGCACACAGAAGCACGACATACTATGTTTTCAACATCGTTGTGATATCGCCCCGCCCGCGGGCTCCTGGGCTAGGGGGCCACATGCGAACCCTATCCCTACTCCCCACCATTTCCGAGGGGGGTAGGGGTAGGGTTCGCATGTGGCCCCCTGTGGGCATGATGGCGGCGGGAGGGGGCCCTCGGAGGTTCCCCCGCTCTCGCGCCGAGCGAGGCGAGGCGGCGCGGCGGGCCCGCTCGGCAGCCGATGGTGCTGTTCGGCGTGCCCGTGCGCGCGCCAGCGAGCTCGAGGAGCAGCTGGGCCTCGCTGCTCGGGCGCTAGAGGCGTTCGTGGGCGACGCCGACCTGGCCGACAGGCTCGCGGCGGTGGTGCCAGCGCTGGTCTCGCTGGTCCGCGGCGAGCGGCCCTCGTGGCTGGCGCGGCTGCGGCGCAACGTCGCGCTGCACGCGCGGGCGCGGGCCCTCGCTGGGCGCATCGCTTGCGCGTCGGCCACCGAGCTGAGAGCGGCGCAGAAGCAGGAGCGCCTCAGCTGCGGCCCCGCAGGCGCAGTCGTGTGCCATGTGGAGGTCTGCGAGGCTGAGGTGTTGCCGAGGCGCAGCGACCATGCAGCAGTGCGGCGTGCGCCGCTGCGGTCGGCGGCGCGGGCCCTTCCTCCCTGCTTGCTTCGACCGCGCGGGGGTGCTGCTGGAGGCGCTGGGAGCTGGGGCGGGGCCCCAGGACGCCCTTCCGGAGCTCGGCGCAGCATTTTGTGGCACCCGAGGCGGCGGGGCGCGCCAATAAGTCCGCGCACGGGCACGGCGTGGAGCAGCACGACGGTGTCGGGCAGCGGGGCGTCGTGCAGTGCGAGGACTTCGGTCTGGCGCACGCGAAGATCTGGAACGCCCGCGTCGCGGCGACTGGCGGTGCTGCGGGCGCTGAGGCGCCGCCGCCGCGGCGAAGCGTTATGACAGACAGTGATGTGGAGCTGCAGCCGATGGGCCCTAGGTCAGTGGGGCGGGCGGACGCCTGGTGGCGCGCACGTGCGGAGGTGGCCCGCGCCTGGCTTGCAGGGCCAGCTGCAGCAGTTTTGGACGGTGCTTCCGAGGATGAGTACGGCGAGCGTTAGGACAGCGAGACTGGCGACGCGGGCTCGGGCTAGGGCAATGTGTTCTCGCCCGCCGACCTTGCCCTCCTTCGGTCCGAGGGGTGCGTCCCGGATCCGCGCCGAGCAACCCGGTTGAGCGATGGCAGCTGTTTGGTTGCAGATGCGTCGAGTCGTGGCGGGGTGGGTCGAGACAGCGTTGAGCAGGGAGCGTTGTGACACGCGGCTTCCTGCCTTGTGGCGCGGGCTGCCGCCGCGGGCCTGGGGGGTGCTGCGGCGCAGACCCTAAAGGCTGAGGGATTGAGTGCGTGTTTCCTGTTTTTGTTGTGTTCTCACACCTTGCAGGGCAGTCGAGTCGCGCTTGGCGAGCGCGGGTTTCCGTCGCGCCTTTCGGCGGCGCCCCGCCTGAGGAGGGAGGGCCCAGGGCGGCCCCCTCCGCTTCTCTCTTTTCCCTCGGGGGGCCTCCTCCCCTGCCTTCGTGGCCCCGATTTTCGCTTTCGCTGTCGTCAGACCATGACCAGAGCGGCATACCAGCGCGGCAGACCAGCATGGCAGACCAGCATGGCAGACCAGCGCGGCAGACCAGCGCGGCAGACCAGCACGGCGACGGCGACGAAGAGTCAGGAGTGGGAGGCCTGCACCATGAGCGGCCCCTACACGGCCTTTCGTGGGCGCTTGGGTGCCGAGCTCAAATTCAAGGAGCAGTGCCCAGGGGCAAAGTCGGACAAGGCTGGGCAGGGCCAGCTCTGCCTCTGGCATCGCGGCCTGCCTCCTGGTGGGGGGCCGCGCCAGCGGAAGCAGCGGAGGAATGATGCCGAGCCGCTCAAGCTCCGCCTCCAGGGTGGGGTGCCCGTGGCAGCGAGGGGGCGCTTCATGGCCTGGTTCGGCGGCGAGCCAGAGGCAGGCGTCGGGCGCGGGTTCGGCGGGCGCGGTGGGCTCATTGCCAGCCACGCAGACGAGCCAGTGAGGTCCGTGGGTGAGCAGCTGTGGGTAGCATCCTTGTAGCTTTCGTCTTCCCTGCACCTGCTGCCGTCGGGCTCTTCTGTTGCTTCCCCGTGCGTCTTCGCGCCTCTGGCCTTGGTTGCAGTTGAGCACTTTTGTGTAGTCAGTTGCGACGCGTGCGGGTGCCCCGTGGGTCCGTGTGGCCCCTCTGTGCCTGTGCGCCTGCTGGGAGCCTGGGGTCTCGGGACGCGGCTTGGCCCTGTCGGGTTGCCCGAACCCTAACCAAAGCGTTTAACATAATTGTCAGAAATATTGCATGCGGAGTTAGCGAGACAGCTGCGCGCGAACCCATTCAGCATTTAAAGTCATTAGGCTTAGCAGATGCGCAGGCCGAGTGGATCCACGTTTGTTTGAGCGCGCAAGGACTTCTCCTGGAGAGGTGGGGGCTGACTCTTTTATAGTTGAACTCTTGCGAGATGCCCCCGCCGAGTTGTGATTTTCGTATGGCGCTTTCGAGATTACTCTCGTCGCCCAAGGCTGAAATCAAGGGTGCCAATATGGTGCGTGCGCGTTTGAATTTGTGTACTCTACAGGCCGACGCTGTTGCACGTTGCCTTGAAGTCTGCTGGAGTAACTAACCCTCGGGCAGCCCAGCGGCGGCGCGGAGGATCTGATTGATATCGCGTTTGTTGATGATGAGTGCATCATTTTGTTAGCCATGTCCGTCCGGGGGTTGGTCATGGCCATTCGTGTTGTGCGAGAGCTGCTTGTGCTGACATTTCGCCTCCTCGACCTCCGCATTACTTTTGAACCAGGGAAAACGGAGGCGATGGTGAAGTTCCGTGGGAAGTACGCCAGCCAGTGTTGGAGGACCTTCATGAGCCTCGAAGGTTGGTAGATCGACCTCTTTCACTCCGAGCTCTTAACCCCCGAATTCCGGGGGCTAAGTGTGGCGAGCTGCTATAAACATCTTGGCGTCTAGGTTGCAGTTGACAGAAACGACTTTCAGGGCGCCAGGCACAAGGCTTCGAGTTCCCTGCAAACGTCCGTGCCGCTGGCGACTAAGGTTTTTGGTTGTCCATCATCGGTGCATTTGAAGCTCGCGCTGGGCTTCGCTCTGGTGCTTAGCCTCTTGTTGTATAGTGTATGCATGCGTGTCCCATCTCCCGCCTTCCTGGGGTGCTTAAGTGGCGTGTGCATGAGACAGCACCGTCGGATCGTCAATGCCCCGAGGTTTGGCAAGGACATCGCCGATTTATAGCTGCGGCGTAAGTTTTCGATCCTAAGCCTCGATTTTATAGTTGTAAGGAAGAGGCTAAGACATCTAAAGGTTTTACTTGCTCACGGGCCTCCTGTCCTGCTTGCGCCGCTGGTGCAAAAAAGTGCGAAAGGACAGTGCGTGCCCCGGACTGCGCAAGCACTGCGTGACATGCGCCTGCTGAGAGTGCGTGTGCTGTATGATATGAATGACCTTGTCAAGGCATGGCAGAGTTGGTGCAGGGTGATTGCCTCCCCGAGGTTGGAGCAGCAGACTCGGTGCTTGATACTGTTGCGTCTTGCGAGCCCGTTGTCCAATTGCGACGTTCTGCAGTGTGAGGCGACGTTCTGCAGCGAAGAAGCCAACGTGCAGCATGAACGCATCAAGCGCCAGATGTGGAACCCGATGCGTGCATGCGCCTTCGGCGATGGAGGGTGCCGCGCATGCAAATAATAAGTTTTCGTGTAGGTGGATGCTTGTGCGACAAGTGGGCGGCAAGCGGAGGACTAGGTGTCGTGACGCACTGTTTGCGTCGACGGTCGAGCCGTTGAGCGCCGTGGCCATTATAGCACTTGACGAGGCAGACAACACCGAGTGCGCCGAGGCTAGGCGTGCATGCCACAGTCAGATTTTTTCTAAGGCCCGGGTCGTTCGAGACGGCAGGGTGGTGGGGAGGTGTGGCAGCTAGGCGCCACATCGTATGATGGATACGGCTGTGCTTCCCCAGTCGTTCTGAACCAGCGCGAGGGCGCTGAATGTTACGACAATTCTTGAACATTTTAAAGACAGCATTTATTGAGACATCCTGCGGTTATCTTCTGTGCAACAAATGTGCATGCCCCGAATGAAATGTTGGGTTTTGAAATTCCGATCGATCAAATACTGAGTTAAGTAAGCATTTTCGTTTGTTGTGGGTGTCTCGAGCGAAGCGCTTGTTTTGCATACTTTGTTGAGGATCTCTTGAGCGAAACGTTTGTTTTGTGCTACAGATCGTTCCCTTCCTGGGGACCATAACCCAGATAATGTCTCAGGTGAAATGATCGTTGTCACGTGTCTAGGTTTTGAGGATGTTTCGAACGAGACGCTTGGTTTCACGCCCCCTCTGGTATCAGGCTTTGTTGAGGATGTCTTGAGCGAGACGCTCGTTCTCACGCGTCCAGGTCGTCCAGGCAGATGTCTGGCATGAGGAGTTGTTGAGGATGCCTTGAGCGAGACGGTTGTTTTCACGTGTCCAGGTCGCCCAGGCGGATGTCTAGCATGAAAATGTGTTGACCAGGTCGCGAGCGAAACGCTGCTTTCACGTGCCCAGGTCGCCCAGGCTGATGTCTAACATGAAGATGTGTTGAGAATGCCTCGAGCGAGACGCTTGCTTTCACGTGTCCAGGTCGCCGATGTTCGGATAATGTCTCTCGATCGACGCTTGTTTTCGTGTGTCCAAGTCGCCCAGGCGGGTGTCTAGCATGAGGATGTGTCGAGGATGTGCTGATCGATACGTTTGTTACCAATCATCCTGTGGTGCTGGGTCCTCGTATTGAAAAGACAGCACCCCGCGAACCTCCTCCTTCCTTCCCCTCCTCCCATCCGTGCCTCTGCCCTCCGCATGTCCACCATTTCGGCGCACCCCTCACGCGCCTTGTGGCCCCATATGTAGCTCCACCGAAAGCTCCACCGGGAAGGTTCGCATGGCACCACCGCGCCCAATTCGGCACACCTCTCACATGTTTCGTGGCCCCATAGGAAGCCCCACCGAAGGCTGTAGTGGGACGGTTCGCGTGAAACCACCGCATCCAAAGCGGCACACCCCTCACGCGGTTCGTGGCCCCATCAGGATCTCCACCGAACGCTCCAGTGGGAGGGTTCGCGTGGCACCACCGCACCCAAGTCGGCACACCCCTCACACGGTTCGAGGCCCCATAGGGTGATCCACCGAAGGTTTTAATGGGAGGGCTCGCATGGCACCACCGCGCCCAATTCGGCACACTCCTCACACGGTTTGTGGCCCCATAGGGAGTTCCACCGACGGTAGGTTCGCATGACACCACCGCATCCGTTTCGGCACACCGCACGGTTCGAGGCCCCCTATGGAGTTCTACCGAAGGCTCCAATGGGAGGGTTCGCGTGGCACCACCGCGCCCAATTCGGCACATTCCTCACACGTTGCACACGTTTCGTGGCCTCATCAGGAGCTCCTCTGAAGGCTCCACTTGGATGGTTCGCGTGGCACCAGTGCGCCCAATTCGGCACACCCCTCACACGTCTCGTGGCCCCATAGGGCGATTCAACGAAGGCTCCAATGGGAGGGTTCGCGTGGCACCACCGCGCCCAATTTGGCACACCCCTCACGCGGTTCGTGGTCCCATACGGAGTTCCACCGAAAGCTCTCATGGGAGGGTTCGCATGGCACCACCGCGCCCAAGTCGGCACACTCCTCACACGTTTCGTGGCCTTATAGGGAGTTCAGCCGAAGGCTCCAGAGGAAGGATTCGCATGGCACCACCGCGCCAAATTTGGCACACCCCTTCACAAGTCTCGTGGCCACCTATGGAGCTCCACCGAAGGCTCCAGTGGGAGGGTTCGCGTGGCACCACCGCGCCCAATGTGGCACACCCCTCACACGGTTTGTGGCCCCATAGGGAGCTCCACCGAAGGTTCCAGTGGCTGCGCTCGCATGACACCACTGCACCCATTTCGGCACACCCCTCACACGGTTCGTGGCCCATCAGGGGCTCCACCGAACGCGGTGCCCACAATGCGGTTTTCGCAGCTGCATATGGTTGGGTCCTTCGTCAGGCTGAATTTCAGGTGGCCATGTCGCCCAGACGGATGTCTAGCATGAGGATGTGTTGAGAAGGTCTCGAGCGAGACACTTGTTTTCACCTGCCTAGGTCGCACAGGGACACGAAGATGTATTGAGGACGCCTCGAGCGAGGCGCTTGCTTTGACGTGTCCAGGTCGCCCAGGCGGATGTCTAGCATGAGGATGTGTTGAGGATAAGCGCTTGTTTTCACGTGCCCAGGTCGCCCAGGCGGATGTCTAACATGACGATTTGTTGGGGTTGTTTCTAGCGAAACGCTTGTCGCAGTAGAGTGCGTCGCAGTCCATCCCCGCCCGACCGTGGGGCGTCCCCTCGCGCGCTGTCGCGTCACCTGGCGCGTCCCTTGCGACGTTCTGGTGTGACGTGCCCCAGCACGTCCCCTAGCACGCCACTCGGCGTGGCACGTTCCCTGGCTCGTTCTCTGTCGCGTTTCATGGCTCGTCCCCAGGCGTTTCCCCTGCCCGTTCCGTGGCGCGCCCCTTGCAACGTCCCTCTGCACAACTTCCTCTGGCCGCCCCATGGCACGCGCCTCGGCACGTCCCGTGGCAGGTCCCTGACACGTCCAGGGCACGTCCCCTGATACGCGTCCATGATACGTCCCCTGACACGCTTCCTGGCGCATCCCCTATTTCGCCCCTGGCGCATCCTGTGGCGCGTCCGCGAGCCTGTGCTCCGTGTCGTGTCGTTCCTTGTCGGAGCTGATGCGGATTTTGAGGTTGAGTTGATTGAACGTCCAGCACGTTTCCGCTTCAACTAGCTCTGGGGCAGCTACTATGTGCTCAGGCAGCTCGAGCTTAAGATCCAGATCAGTTCGGTCAGGGCTCGGATGCAAAGGAGGAATCGATCCACAACGCCATAGAGCACAATCGCGGCATGGCACACCGCCATCCAGCACCAGCTCTTGGCACGGTACATTCAGATCGGCACACTCAGCATTGCAATTGCCCGTCGCCCAATCAGGTGTCTCGACGACGTTGCCATGCCCCACATTTCTATATTCCTTTCCAGGTTCGTGGGTCGATCGTGTTTTGCCTTTGGAGGCTCTTCCTAGGCCCTGGGACCGTCAACGAAACGACCCACGATGAACAGGAATGCTATGGATGTCCTAAGGCATCCTCAGGATTTCCCAAGGACTCCTATGGGTTTCCTTAGGAATCCGATGGGTTTCATTTCATGAGGAATCCAGGAATCAGCTGGATGTCAGAAGGAATCCTATGGATTTCCTGAGAAATCCGACGCATTTCCTAAGGCATCCTGTTGATTTCCGGAGGCATCCTCTAGATTTTCTAAGACATCCTATGGATTTCCTAGCCCAGATCTCCAGGGACCCACGCCGTGAGCAGAAGCCACGACACTGGAGCCCTCAGAGCCCCGGTGGACGGTACAGCAGCGCGGCCTGCGCCCGCCCTCCTCGCCATGCCGCCTGCGCCGACCTGCAGGGCTTCGGTGCACGCACGCACCGAGGCCCTGCAGTGCGGCGCAGCTCCTTCGTCAGCTCCCTATTCCGCGTTCCTCCCCCTCCTCCTCCTCCTCCTCCTCCTCCTCCTCCTCCTCCTCCGCCTCCCTCACCTCCTCCGCCCCGAGGGCCACCGATCTTCCCGCGGCGCGTCAGGCCCTCGGCCCGGCGGGTTCCGCGACCCCCGGGCGATGGTGTTCTGGCACGTGCCGCGGTTGCTGCGGGGCCTGCGCCCGGACCAGCGCCCCACGGCCCTGCTGCTGGAGAACGTGCCGGGCCTGCTACTGACCGACGTGTCCTGGGGGCCCCGCGCCAGCCGGGCCGCTGCCGAGGATGCTCACTCTCGTGTTTTCTGCTCCCAGACATGATCGCGTCGTGAACAATTCAAGACGGAGGTTTTTCGCAATTTTCGGCCCCGGGGTGCCCTCGCCGGGCCCCAGGGGCCCCGGCAGCGTCAAAAAACCGGTCCCGTGGAAAAGGTCGGGACTTCCAGGGACGCCGTCCTGAACAAATTATCCAGGCGAAGGACTCAACCATATGCAGTTGTGGGTAACCCAATTGTTGGTATCGTCTTCGGTGGAGCTTCGTATGGGGCCGCGAAACGTGTGAGGGGTGTGCCGAAATGGGTGCGGTGGTGTCATGCGAGCGCAGCCACTGGGGCGTTCGGTGGAGCTCCTGATGGGGCCACGAAGCGTGTGATGGGTATGCCGAAATGGGTGCGGTGGTGTCATGCGAGCGCAGCCACTGGGGCGTTCGGTGGAGCTCCTGATGGGGCCACGAAGCGTGTGATGGGTATGCCGAAATGGGTGCGGTGGTGTCATGCGAGCGCAGCCACTGGGGCCTGCGGTGGGGCTTCTGATCGGGCCACGAAACGTGTGAGGGGTGTGCCGAGATGGGTGCGGTGGTGTCATGCGAGCGCAGCCACTGGGGCCTTCGGTGGAGCTTCTTATGGGGCCTCGAAGCGTGTGATGGGTGTGCCGAGATGGGTGCGGTGGTGTCATGCGAGCGTAGCTAGTGGGGCCTTCGGTGGGGCTCCCTATGGGGCCACGAAGCGTGTGAGGGGTGTGCCAAGATGGGTGCGGTGGTATCTCGCGAGCGCAGCCACTGGGGCCTTCGGTGGAGCTCCCTATGGGGCCACGAAACGTGCGCGGGGTGTGCCGAAATTGGCGCGGTGGTGTCATGCGAGCGCAGCCACTAGGGCCTTCGGTGGAGCTCCCTGGGGCCACGAAGCGCTGTACTGGGAGGGGGAAACGCAGGGAGGAGGGAGGAGGGGGAGGAGGAGGAGGAGAGGAACGCGGGGACCGTCTCTCCAAAACGAGGACCCAACACCACAGGATGGTTGGGAATCAGGAGGTCGCATGTCTGGGTTCCCATTCCCCATCCCCACAGTGCCATGGTACCTCAGCCCTACCCTCCCACCCTCCCAGTTGGGGGCAGGCCCCTCGAAGCCCGAAGGGAGCAGCTTATATCGCCACCCGGGGGGGGGGGGATCCATCGGACACTGGGGCGCAGTCCACGCAAGTGGGGGCAGGAATCGGTTAAACGATGCTCGGAGGCTCCCTCGCACGGCCGCCCAGCGCCCAGCCCCGCCCGGGGGGCCGGCTTGGGGCCCGTGCTGGGCGCGCTGAGCGCCTGCGGCTACGACCTCTCCTGGCGTGTTTACGACGCTGGCTGCGTGCTGCCCCAGCTCCGCCCCCGCCTCTTCATCGTCGGCATCCGTAGTGACGCCCCTGGCAAGGAAGAGTTCGAGTGGCCAGCGATGCCGGACCTGCACCCGCGCCTCGGCGACGTGCTACACCCGCCTGGCGAGGTCGACCTGGAGCCCTACAGGCTCACCGCCCAGCAGTGGGCAGCCGTGGAGGGGTCGGTCTACTTCCGCCGCCGCCCCGAGCCCGGCCACGCGCAGGAGGAGGATGAGGAGGAGGAGGAGGAGGAGGAGGAGGAGGAGGAGAAGGAGGAGGAGGAGGAGGAGCGAGGACGGAGGAGGAGGAGGAGGAGGAGGAGGAGGAGGAGGAGGAGGAGGAGGAGGAGGAGGAGGAGAGGAGGAGGAGGAGGAGGAGGAGAGGAGGAGGAGGAGGAGGAGGAGGAGGAGGAGAGGAGGAGGAGGAGGAGGGGGAGGAGGGGGAGGAGGGGGAGGAGAAGAGGAGGAGGAGGAGGGAGGAGGAGGAGGGAGGAGGAGGAGGAGGAGGAGGAGGAGGAGGAGGAGGAGGGGAGGAGGAGGGAGGAGGAGGAGGAGGAGGAGGAGGAGGAGGAGAGGAGGAGGAGGAGGAGGAGGAGGAGGGGAGGAGGAGGAGGAGGAGGAGGGAGGAGGTGGAGGACGAGGAGGAGGAGGAGAGGAGGAGGGAGGAGGAGGAGGAGGAGGAGGAGGAGGAGGAGGAGGGAGGAGGAGGAGGATAGGAGGAGGAGGAGGAGGAGGAGGAGGAGGAGGAGGAGGAGGAGGAGGAGGAGGAGGAGGAGGAGGAGGAGGAGGGGGAGGAGGGGGAGGAGGGGGAGGAGGGGGAGGAGTCGCCCCTCGCCAGAGGGACCTCCCGGTGCGGGCCCGCAGGCCCCCTTCGCTCAGCACCTGCTGCCTCTGCGCTCGGGCCTGGCTCCGGTGGCTTTTTGCGGCCCCCGGAAGTTGTGCACCAGAGGTCACTCTTGCGTCCGGCAGTGTCGTGTCGTCTCGATGCGGTGGCGACCCCAGAGCGGGCGTTCTAGCGCAGTGGCCCACATCAAGGGCAATGGTGGGGGGGATAGGCTGAAGGGGGGATGAATCGACCCCCAATCGCCCACTGATCGCCGAGAGGGGCCCAGAAGCCCACCCCGCCCAGGAACGTGTGGATCCGCTATCGGGGTCCTATCGCCGATCTAGGATCGGCGATGTATCGCCGATTCCAGCTCGATGTATCCCCCTCTGAGCTGGTCCCCCCTGTAGAGTGCCCCATCGTTGCCCCTCACCACAGTCGGCCGACATCCAGCGACCCGCGCTATCGGAACGGCCGTGTTAACGCGAAGGTCGAGGGGTTCGCGCGGTGCCAGCAAAGCCCACGCCGACGCCACCACGGCATGAGCCGGCGGCCCACAGCCGGCCGACATCGAGCGATCCTCGCTGTCCGAACGGCCGCGCTTGCGCAAGGACGCGCAGTGGCCCACAGTCGGCCGACATCGGCCGACATCGAGCGACCCGCGCTATCCGCCTGCGCGCGATGGCCGAGCGGCCCGCGCGGTGCCAGCAAAGTCCACGCCAGCGCCGCCGCCAGCACGAGCATACCCGCCACGGGGCCTCTTTCCTGCGCGTGGCCGACGAGCACCGCCTGCCGCCCCTGGAGGGGAAGGCGAACACCGTCCGAGGCAGGAGCCATCTCGCTGCCGCCGATGCGTATCGATTCGGTTTGTCGATTCCGATCCGACTCTGACTTCCTCCTCCCTCTCGTCCTCGTCCTCGTCCTCGTCCTCGGCCTCCTCCTCCTCCTCCTCCTCCGCCTCCGCCTCCTCCTCCTCGTCCTCGTCCTCCTACTCGTCGTCGTCCTCCTCCTCCTCCTCCCGCTCCGATCATTTGGATTCGATTCGACTCCCGACTCCCGACTTCGGCCTGGGCTTCCCTGGGCAGGCCGCGGCTCGGGCCGCCGGGCGTCGATCACGGTGCCTTCCGATCTGCCCGTCGACTTCGACTGCCGATCCGACGCAGTTCGATTGCCGGTTCTATGACGAACGAACAACACCAACCCATACCCCTAGGGGGTCGTTGAGAGGAGGACTGGCTATGGGTATGGGTGCGGGTGGTCGGACCCTGGGGAACGCTTCCGCTCGAGCGGGGACCCCCATCCGACAACACGCACCCATAGCCCTCTCCGACTCCCCCATGGGTATGGGTGCGTGTTGTTGGTTCGTCAGTTCTATGGGAGCGAAGAATCACCACTCGCCAAACCATCCCAACCCAACCCGAATGTCTCAATTTGCCCTCCATTTCCAACGGGCGGGGGGGAGGGTCGGGGAACATCGAGAAAACACATATGGAGCCCGTACCCACCCCATCCTGAAATTCGAGTCTTCGGGTTGGGTTGGGGTGGTCTGGCAGGTAGTCAAGAATGACTTAAATTACCCCAGTTCGACCCTACCTTGAAGTTGGAACCCCTAGGAAAGCAACATTAGTTGCTATGCTATGCTATGCTATGCTACGCTATGCTATGCCATGCTATACTGCGCTATGCTATGCTATGCTATGCAATGCTATGCTATGCTATGCTATGCTGCGCTATGCTATGCTACATGCTATACTATACTATGACATACTATGCTAAGCTATGCTATGCCATGCTGCGCTGTGCTATGCTAAACTATGATATGCTATCTTATGCTATGCTAAACTGCGCTATGCTATGCTATACTATGCTATGCTACGCTACGCTATGATATGCTATGCTATGCTATGCTATGCTTGACTATGCTATGCTACGCTATGCTATGCTATGCTGTACTCTGCTATGCTGAAGCTCAGCGAAGCTAAGATGAAGGTCAGCTAAGCTAAGATACACCTGAGTTAAGATGAAGCTAAACTAAGCTAAGATGAACTAAGCTAAGCTAAGATGAAATAAGCAACGCTAAGCTAAGGGGACGTAACTGGGGGAACCGCGGGGCGGATGCCGGGGGAACCGCCCGGGGCGTTTTCCACGCCCGCCCTTTAAGCACAGAGGGTAAGAACCCTTCTAGGCAGAGCCTAGGTAGGGGACATAAAAACTCGGAGTTCCGCGTGGAGTTCTCGGATCGCTGCTGGACCCCCCTCTCTGGCGCGCGGAGCGTGCCAGGGGCGGCGCCGGAGGCGCCGCCAGGGGGGTCCAGCGCGGATCCGAGAAATCCGCGCGGACCTCCGAGTTCTTATGTTCATGACATTCTTCGTTCCCTTGGATTCGTCTTTCCGATCCGATCTTGTGGCGCCCCGTCCGAGGCAGCTACCGCTCCGGCTACAAGCTGTACTCGCAGTTCGTGCCGCTGCCCGCCCAGGGGCCCAGCGACGTGCCGCTCCGCTTCCTCACCCCGCGGGAGTGCGCGAGGCTGCAGGCCGGCCGGGAGCGGTTCGCAGAGGAGGTCGAAGAAGAATAATCGGCCACGCGCAGAGGGGGGGGGGTATGGGGGAGGGGGGGAGGCTTCTTAGAAGGAGGCTGCTTCGAAGGCGCGGGCCTTGTCTATGGATGCAAGGCCGGCGCCTTCTAAGAAGCAGCCTCCTAAGAGACCTTCCCCTCCCCCTACCCCTTTGTGCGCGCCGCCAAGAAGAAGTAACTGCATAAACATACGCTTTTGGACCTCCTCGTGGATTTCTTGGATCTGCCTCCGCGCGCCAGGCAGGAGGTGTCCAGAGCGGATCCAAGAAACTCGCGCGGACCTCCAGTTTATGTTTTGCACCTTTTTCCCGGAAACGACTCCAGCCCAGTGTTCTCTTTTAGTTTTGTTCCATTGTCCCCTGGTGCCATGCAGAGGTGGGCCGGCGATTTTCCGTGCGATGAAGAACGAAATGAAGTCCCATTCGGCTTGGAGCAACTGCGTTTCGCGCGTGCCCGCTCGAGGAAAATTTGCCCCCCATCTCAGGTCCTCGTTGCATAACGGGGTCTGCAGACCCCCGCTTTCCAAAGAGGGTGCAGAGCGTTTTGTGCAGAATCCTTTCAAAATAAGGTTTGGCGATTCTCCTTTTTTCAAATATGGAGCATTTGACATGTTGCATGCCCGCTCGAGGATAGCGCGTCCTGCGCGCAGGAATTTCGAGGATGTCCAGAGCCCCGCGCTTGTTTTGCAGAAGCCGTGTTGGCTTTTTGCGTGCCCGCTCGAGGACGGCGCGCCCTGCGTGCCGAAAATTTGAGGATGTCTCTGACAACACGCTTGTTTTGCAGCGCTTGAAAGACCTGGGTGCCCCAGGATGCCCAGGTGGTTCTGGGAGTGCGGTCGGACAGTTAATTATTTACAAGGGATCGTGGCCCTGGGACCGCGGATGCCGCGTAAATTGCAAAGGATCCTGGTCCTGGGAGCGCGGACGCAGCGTAATTGACGAGGGATCGTGGCCCTGGTAAAGCGAACCCAGTCTAATTTTCAATGGATCGTGGCCTTCGGAGCGCGAACCCAGCGTAATTTACAAGGGATCGTGGCCCTGGGAGCGCGCATTCAATGTAATTTACGAGGGGCCGTGGACTTGAGCGCGAATCCAGCGTAATGCACGAGGGATCGCGACCTTGGGGGCGCGGACGCAGTGTAGTTCATGAGGATTCGCGGCTTTGGGTCCAGCGCTTGATTTTCAGGAAATGGTGCGGGGGCCTAAAGGTGCCCTCCGAACGCATATCCCAAAACAAATAAGTATTGGTTTCTGCTCTGGAGAGGGGGTGCCCTTTTGGTCAACCTCCCCGCGGTGTTTCTTCACCCTGGGAGCGCGGATGCAGCGTTATTTGTGAGGAATCGGGACCTTTGGAGCCCGGAAGCAGTGCAATTCACGGGGGATCGTAGCCTCAGGAGCGCGGGCGCAGCGTAATGTATAGAGGATCGTGGCCCTCGGAGGCTCAAGGAGGCTCAAGGCTGTCCACTCTTCAGGTGAGGGAAGCTCCCATTCCCATTCCTACATTCCCATTCTGTTAACAGTCACTGCTCTTGCGTTCCCATTCTTTAGCTCGCACGCCACTTTTTCCTTTCCCCTTCCCGTACCTTGCGATGGACGGCACGGGCTCGCGAGCGCCAGGGACACCAGTTCGAGGAGTCCTCGAACGGGACGTTCGCCAACGCCTGTTCGGTCCGCCCCACGAGATGGACGATGCCGTGCCTGGAGCGGAGGTGCACGACATTGCCACGACTGACGCTCCAGCTGGCGCCCAGCAGCAGGCACCGACCCTCCAGGAGATCGCGACGATGTTCTGGCAGGAGGTGGCCCCGCTCAAGCGCGCCATCGCCGACCTCGAGCACGAGGTCACCGGGATGGGCGACATGGTGGGCTCCCGTATGAACGCGGCGGAGGGGAAGACGGACAACCTCGAGACCCGCGTCTTGGACCTTGAGAAGCAGAGCGCCAACATGACGAACACTCCTTGGTCTGACGGCATTGTGAACGCAGAGATTTGGGAGCAGCTCAGACTTTTGGAACTGCAGGTCGCCACGCTGAAGGTTTGGGACCCAAGCAGTGCCAATGACAAGGGTTGGGACAAAGAGTGCACAATGGGCAACCAAATTAAGATCCTGGTCGCTAGTGGCCTGCAGTCTTTCGCGAGGGTTGAGGAGGTGAAGGAATGGGCGTCGAACAAGTTGTGGGACGCTTTCGGGCCCCAGCCTCAGGACACCTACGCAAAAAGAGATGTTCGGGGTATTGTTTTCATGAAGTTTTGTCTACCATGGACCGGGACGCGGCCGTAAACATATTCCGTAACAAAGGTTCCTTTTCAAAAATGGGGCAAACATGTATGGGCGAAACTTGAGAAGTTCTTCTCTGAACCCATATTGTCCCCGTTCGTCTTTGGAATGGAGTGCATGTTCAATGTTCAAGGACTGGGGGTACGAGGCCAAAACCGTGTGGGCCGACCCAGAAGAAGGCAACATATGGGTGGGCAGTGACGTCGCTGTTCACGGGAACGTCAAGGGGGCAAGTTGTCCGTGGTTCACCGGCCTGGCTGGAAGGGGTGGCTCATGGACCCATGGGCCCGGCGTTCCCAGAGTACACCACCCACGTGACCAAGTCGAGCAGTAAGTTGGAGAACGGCTTTGCCAAAAGACATGGGCCGGCAGCGTTCAAAGGGAAAGGCGAAGGTGGCAAGGGAACGGGTTCCCATCGCAAGTATCAGGGCCAGCGGTGCGCAACCAGAGAAGTTTCACTTCAGAGACGTGGAGATGGCCAGCGTCCCTTGGGAACTTCTGATGATTCTACTGCGGGGCCGAGGCTTTCTGGTGAAGCCAACATGCCTGTCCCTGCAGTCGGGGGTGGTCGTTTGCGCCCCGCAGGTGCCGAATTCGATATTGCATTTTGGAACACTGAAGGTTACGCAGAAGCGAAACAAGTTGAACCGCAAAACGTTATGCAGCATGATCATTTCGGGATCCTGTGCCTGCAAGAGACGTGGCGGTCGAAATCAGTCACTGTCGTCGCGGAGTCAGGCTTGGGATTCTTGGTGGCCCCATGGGTCTGGAGATCGATCGTGGGCTTCTGCCGGGCTGCGTCCAGAGTGGCGTCCTCGAAGCTACGTGCGCCAGCTGGGAAAGCGGTTATCTTCTCCGCATGCGCGCCCCACGGTGGAAACAACTTTTGAACGGCGGCGCACTTTCTCCCGCGATGTTGCAGAATTTGTGGAGTCCAAGTCCGCGCGTGGACCGAAGCTTGTGCTCGGCGACTTGAACGCGAAGCTGTTGCGCAGGTTCGACGGGGAATGCCCTGTCGTCGGCCCCCGCGCGCATCCAAGCATGCGTTTGGCGAACGCATTCTTTGAGGTTCCCGTGGGTCGCCTGGCGACGCCCTGCAATCCTGCAACGTCCTCGCCCTGGCGGGTGCGGATTTTGGATGGCAAACGCATTCGCAGATCGATTTTGCAGTGTGCGAGCAGAGTTGGTTCCACGACGTCGGAGGTGTGTCTGCGCGCCAGGGTGTGCCGCTATGCTCCTGCCATTGCCTGCTGCAGGCTTCGGTGTTGCTAGACGTTGACAAAGGCGCCAGAGAACCTGCGCGCCGTCGAGACTGCGCGATCTAGCCGTGCGCCTGTCAGATTCTTTGGAAAAGTTCGAAGACGAGGCGCCGGGCCACGGCGATGTGAACTGGGCATGGTGCCCTTTGGTTGTCAGTTTCAAGCACGCCGAAGGAATGCCCCCTAACGCTAGAGACCCAGAGGAGACGAAAGCCTTGGATAAGCAATGACACCCTCGAGCTGATCAGCGCTCGATCGCAGGCCAGACTCGCTGGCGACGTCGCGCGCGAGAGAGGTGGCGACGCGCGCCAGGGCGTCGGTCGCAAGACACAGGGCTCGACGGCTGGAAGAGCCATCGCAGAGAGGAGACTGGGCGCAGATCCGCAAATGACGGGGGTTCTGCCCTGCGTAGGGTCGGCTTCGCGACGGCGCCGGCGACTTGGTCGACGGCGACAATGGGGCCGACGCGCTGGCAGTGCATTTGAAAGCTGTCCAGTGGGCTGTCCGGCCGACCGCAGCATTGCCCGGCTCATCTGCGCTGAGCGCGGAGCTGCCAGTGAATTTGAGCGGGCCATCGCGGAGGGCTAAGTGTCTCGTGCTGCGAGGAGTCAGAGGAGTGGCCGCGCCCGCGGCGTCGACGATCGGCCGCCTGAGTTTTGGAGCGCCGCTGCAGAGGACGGAGTGCCCGCGCGCGCTTGGACCACCAGATTCTGCAATTTGGCGCGGGCGCAGGGTCGGGCCCCCGGCGCCCGGCGCAAGGGTGACCTGGCATCGCGCGACAACTGCAGGCCGATATGTTTACTTTCCATCGGGCACACAATTTTCGCGATGATCTAACTGCAGAGGTTGAAGGGCGCGGGGGCTGAGGATCGCGCCAATTCGGCTTCCGCTGCAGGAGAGGCACCGCTGATGCACCATAGAGGGCGCCTGGGCAACGATGAGCGGCAGCACGTTGTTTGTGGCGTTAGACTGGGAGAGAGCATTTGATTCGGTGGCGCCAGACGCCTTGGCGTCCTCGCTCAAGGGATCGGGGTGTCCAGACAGACTTGTTGAGATGGCCGAGTCAATCTGCAGTGCCGGGACTTTTGTGGTGTCCGATTCGGGGTGTCGTCCGCTGAGCGAGACCAGAATTTCGGCATGTGTCAGGGGTGCCCGCTATCCCCGTTTCTCTTCGCCATCGTCGTGGCGACCCTGATGGCACATGCGCGCGGGGGTCGACCGTGCCTCGCCGATGCGCTCTTCGTCCGGGAACTGATCTACGCGGGCGACGCGCTCCTCCTCGATGTTGATCGAGTCGCAGTGGGCG